GATCGTGGCGTTCATGCGATCGTGCCGCTCGTCACGCAGGTCATCAATCTCGTCAGTCCGTGACGGCTGTAGCAACTGGAGAATCTCACGAGTCCGACTACTCAGAGCGGACAAATAGGTGTTGGAGGTAAGCGTGGAGGGCTACGAAGGCAGAAAAGTTTGAAATTCATTGGGGTCCACGGGGAACAATGATGCAAATGACCAGAGTTATCAACAGTATCCTGCGCCAAATGAGCAGTGTTGCGCAGAATTAGCAGTGTTGCGCTGAATGAGCAATGTGTGCATGTGCGTGCACAAGGGCAATGTGGCAAAGGGGCAAAAGAGCAAAGACGCCGCGAAGCACGGCTCGCTCACGACCGACACGAAGAGGTATCGGATGTGAAACGATTGCAAGGAATTTGCCCCCAGGCAGATGAGACATACAAAGTAAAGGTTTCAGCGAAGGGTATTCAGCAGGGAAGTGGTCGAAACAATGGTGTTCTTAGTCCTGATCGGTTTGAGACTGTCGTACGGGATCGCATCACGCTAAAATGTACAAACAAGCGGTTCAGACTATCGAAAGAAACCAAGTCTATTATCACCTACACTTAAAACCAAACAGCGCTCAACTACTACTACGACAAACGTCGAGTACTTGATGATGGTATCACGACTGAAGAACTTGATATTTAAGCAGGTAACCACTGGGGATTTATTTTATTGTAAATAAAGATCATGGACGCGCTACTAAAGAAACTCTACTATGAACCAAAAACCGGTTATATCGGAGCTCAAGCTCTGTATCAGAAGGCAAAGAAGTTAAATCCTAAGATAGCTTTCAAAATAGTAAAGGATTGGTATGGAAATCAGACCGATATTCAACGATTTCAGGAGCAACAGAAGAGATTCAATGGTTTCAAAATAGCTTCGCATAACCCCAACTCGTGGCAAATTGATCTTGCATTTTGGGAGAAACGACCAATTTTGACTGCTATCAACATCAACTCAAGTCTGGGGTTCGCAAAGCTCTTACGAAACAAGACGGCAGCATCTGTGTTAGCAGAGCTTAAAGCGTTTGTTCGTCTCCACAAAGTCAATATCTTAAAAAGTGATAATGGTAGTGAGTTTATCAGCTTACAGACCCAAGGGCTTATTAAATCCAAGGCAATTGAGCACTACAACAACGAGCCAGGTGATCATGGAGCTATGGGATAAACTGAACGATTTAACAGAACGTTGAAACAGAGACTAACTAAAATATCCCCCAAGAGAATTACGCAAAAGCTTATCACTGATGTCATCGAAAACTACAATACCACGTTTCATCGTTCGATTGGTATGACTTAAAATGAGGCAAAAGGCAACGTAATGGATGCAGATCTGAGTCATAATTAGGTGGAAGCCGATAGAATTGAAAAAGAGTTTGACTCAACTCCGGCGTAAGCTTTGGATCATTCAGGAGGTTAGTCGAATCAAGAACGAGTTGCTGAATCTTGATGCATGCGCGAATTTCCGCAAACAGTAGTCAATCGAAAGTATCGACATGAGTTGGAAGCAATATTTGGAGCTCCATTCCATTGCATTAAGGAACGCTATCTAAGTCCTCTAAATGAGCGAAATAGTATCTGTCATAAATATCGACCATTTAACCATGACTCAGTTATGCCGAGTTTGTGGTAAGAGTATTTAAGGCTACTCATTTTTTTATAATTCGTTTGACATAGGATCAATATGTTTCCAAATTTTACATCGCTCGCTCCGACAGAGCAAAAGCGTCAGGAGCTTCTTGAAAAGGCTCAGCGCCGCGTTCGGCAAGCTAAAGTCAAACTTGGGATGTTCCCAGCCGCTTCGGGGGGCAAGTGATATCACGAATGTGATTACTACAGTCTCTAAGAAATCAACCGAATCAACTCAGACAGACTCATCCGAGTCTGCTGAGTCCCTAAAAAACACTGATTGATGGATACTTCTAAACAAACCCTGACTCCTCAACTCCAAATGTTCGACCTGTGATGATCGATGTTGGAGTAGATAGCGGCGTGCAGATGGTGAACAGCTCAATTAATACTGATCGTGTTAACCGAGCTGATAGAAATATGCAAGCGAGACCTCAAGCATCTGACGTTGGTATCGATAACACAGCAAACAGCTGATGTTAGAATCGACAAAACTCCAAGAATATTAGATGCTGAAACAAACATGAAAAATATGTATACCGAAGATCAAGTGGAGGCGCGATCATGGGTTAAGACTTTGTTTAACGCCAATCCTAATTGGGTAGCGCTTTGAACTAAGCCAATTAAGCGTGAAACTGGTAAGGATGACAATATATACTTTCTTGGTGAAAAGGGATCATTAATTGCAACCAAACCGGGTAGAAAGAGTAAGACTTATCAATCGATTGTTTGGGTGGCTACAGAGGAGAAGATTAGGGACATCTGGTATGATGGCGAAAGTAAATCAATCGATGAGAGCAGTTATATGAGACTTGAAGACCCTCTTTTTACGCTTCACTGACGCGAAAACGAAAACTTGCCAATCCAAGTGAAGGTGATTAAACAGACCGTCCAAAGCAACGTCTTGAAGACACTTTCGAGTTTGATACATCGACTTCAACCTAATTAGATCAAGTTGATAGTAAGTATCGATTGCTTTGGTCTATTTTTAAGAAAAAGGCACGACTGGTTTGAAAAAGAAAAGCATTCCTATCCTCAAGAGCATAGGTACAACGTCTCAGATGGATAAAACGGGATACACGTGGATTGATTGTTCATCAATTAGCGTATTTGGAATTGATAGTGGGAGAGTCAAGCCCGCGATTACAATTTACTGAAAGATCGCGACGATGTCGATCTATTTACTAACGAAGACACCACCAAACTTGCAAAGGCCTATGAGCCACGCGATGGTGAGGCTCGCCATGGAATTAAGATTGGAATTGATGAAGATATGAATCT